TTCTCTCCAATTTGGTTCCTATACTTTTATTATATATTTACTTTATTCCTCCCTTGTTCTTTCTCTCACTCACTTTATTTCATCTTTATTTCTGTTTAAACTGAATACTATATGCTTCCCTTCACATACTCAACTCCACATTATTTATTCCCCTTTTTATGCACAATGTAAATTTTACTTTCTCTCTTTGCATTGCTCCAACTCCCAACTCTTATTAGTATTCCTCCCTCTACCCTCTCAAAATCATTTTTCTTTCAGTAGGTCATCTCGTATTCACTCTCCTTTCTTAAAATAGTCTCAATCTCTTTACATCCTTATTAATACTAATTTATTTGCTGCTGATAGTGGGATTGCAGGAGCAGGAATTATTTTTGCAGGTGTGGGTTTGTTTCCTGAGTTTTGTGGTTTTGTTCTGGCAGCACCTACACAACAGCATACTAGATGTGGTGGGTGGAGTGACTCTCAATCAACAAGCTGGAGGGAATGACCCACCAAAGAAAGACTCAACAACAATCAAAACCCAGTAACATCCAGAAAGCCAAAAATAATGGCACAAAGGGTATCCCAAAAGCATCAAGTTTGGAATATCAAGGGAACTGCACAACTGAATCTCACAGGTCTTCTACTATAGAAGTTCACACTACAAACTCAGGGAGTCAAAACAGATCAATTTAAGAAGCAGAAGCAAACAAGAGGAATCGAACAAGTAATGGTAAGACAAAGAAGCAACCCCCAATCAAAAGAAAAGAACCCTCAGAAAGAGTGCTAAATGAAATAGAGGCAAGTCAATTATCAGATATTGACTTCAAAACAATTGTTATAAGGAAGTTCAATGAGCTCAGTGAGAATTACCAAAAACTACAGGGAAGCTACAAGGAACTTACTGTGAATTACACAAGTATGATAAAGGACACAGAAACTATCAAAAAGATCCAAGAAAAATGAAGAATACAATTTCTGAATTGAAGAACACAGTAGAAGGAATCAAAAACAGGCTAGATGAAGCAGAGGACCAAATCAGTGATCTGAAGGTAGAAAAAACTCCCAGATAAAGAAATAAAAAGAAAAAAGACTAAAAAAGAATGCAGATGAGGTAAGGGGACTGCAGTACAACATGAAATGTAATAACATCCATATCATAGTGAAACCACAAGGAGAAGAGCAAGGCAGAGAAAACCTTTCTGAAAAAGTGACAATAGAAAACTTCCCTAATTTGATGAGAGAAAAAGTCACACAAGTCCAGGAAGCACACAGGGTCCCAATCAAAAAGAACCCAAAGAGGGCCCATAATTAGAATGGCAAAATTCTAAGACAAAGAGAGAATATTAAAGGCAGAAAGGGAGAAACAGAAAGTAACAAACAAGGGAAACCCAATAAGGCTAGCAGCTGACTTCTCATTGGAAACACTGAAAGCCAGAAGGGAATGGCAAGAATGAATACGTGGCTATCAATAATAACCTTAAATATCAATGGATTAAATGTTTCAATTATATACATAGGGTAGCTGAATGGATAAGGCAGTCTTGAGAGGGAAGTTCATACAATACAGGACTACCTAAAAAAAGGCGGCTGGCTGATCACGGTCACACATTAGTGTGCAGATAACCAGGCAAAGGAGCAAACAATGAGACAGACCAGAAAACCAAAGGCCCCAGCACTGAAAATTAAAGCCTAAAAGCATCAATTGGGAAAGCTTTCCGGGGTCGAGGTGTCAGGAGAGGCTCACAGAGAGTTCATTGGAGAGACCCACAGGGTCCAATAATGTACACAAGCCCACCCACCTGGGAACCAGCACCAGAAGGGCCCAATTTGCTTGCAGGAAGTGGCAGAGGGGACCAAAATCTGAGAGAGAGCAGAAAAACACCATTGCCCCTCTCTGACCCACCCCCACATACAACTTCACAACCCAGCGACCTGGGTTGCCGCACCCTGGTAAATACCTAAGGCTCCGCACCTCATATGTAACAGGCCCAAACAGACCAAAACATTATGGCTGAAGAAGAAGAACAGCTCGAGGACCCAGAGCCAATACTTCTAAGTGACAAAAAGATAGCCAACCTATCTGATGCACAGTTCAAAACACTGATGATCAGGATGCTCACAGAACTGGTTGATTTTAGTCACAAATTAGATGAAAAAATGAAGGCTACACTAAGTGAAATGAAGCAAAATGCACAGGAAACCAATAGTGATGGGAAGGAAACTGGGACTCAAATCAAAGGAGTGGACCAGAAGGAAGAAAAAAATGCCCAAACAGAAAAGGATGAAGAGACAAGAATTCAAAAAAATGAGGAGAGGCTTAGAAACCTCCAGGATATCTTTAAACATTCCAACATCCAAATTATAGGGGTACCAGAAGGGAAGAGGAACAGCAACAAGTGGAAAACATATTTGAACAAATAATGAAGGGGATTCATTAGAATGAAGGAGATTTCTTTAGCCAGATTGTCCAATCTGGCTAAGGAAGTAGACTTCCAGGAAATCCAGAAAGCTCAGAGAGTCCCAAAGAAGTTGAACCCAAGGAGGAACACACCAAGGCACATCATAATTACACTACCCAAGATTAAAATGAAGGAGAGAATCCTAGAAGCAGCAAGAGATAAGGGGACAGTCACCTACAAAGGAGTTCCCAGACTGTCAGCTGATTTCTCAAAAGAGACCTTACAGGCAAGAAGGGGCTGGAAAGAGGTATTCCAAGTCATGAAAGGCAAGGACCTACATCCAAGATTGCTCTATCCAGCAAAGCTTTCATTTAGAATGGAAGGACAAATAAAGTGCTTCTCAGATAAGATCAAATTCAAGGAGTTCATCATCACCAAGCCCTTATTATATGAAATGTTAAAGGGACTTATCTAAGAAAAAGAAGATAAAGAAACATGAACAGTGAAAGGACAACAAACTCACAGTTATTAACAACCACACCTAAAACGAAAGCAAACTAAAAGGACAGCTAGATCAGGAGTGGAAACATAGAAATGAAGATCTCAAGGAGGGTTAGCAACAGGGGAGTGGGAGGAGGAGATGGGGGGAGAAGGTACAGAAAATAAGTAGCATAGACAGTAGATAGAAAATAGATGGGGGGGCAAGAATAGCATGGGAAATATAGAACCTAAAGGACTTGAGACCCATGGACATAAACTAAAGGGGGGTAATGGTGGGGATGGGGGGGCAGGGGGGAGGGGAATGAAGGGGGGAATAGAACAACTGCAACAGCATAATCAATTTAAAAAAATAAATAAAATAAATAAAAATAAAAAAATAAATCAGCAAGAAAATAGAGATAACCCACAGAATGGGAGAACATATTCATCAATATATCTGATAAGGGGTTAATATCCAACATTTATAAACTACTTACAAAACTCAACGCCAAAAACCAAACAACTCAATTAAACAATGGACAAAGGAACTGAATAGACACTTTTCCAAAAGAGAACATACAGATGGCCAATAGACCTATGAGAAGATGCTCAGTGCCACTAATCATCAGAGAAATGCAAATTAAAACCAAAATGAGATACTACCTCACACCTGTCAGAATGGCTCATCAATAAATCAACAAATAACAAGTGCAGGGGAGGATGTGGAGAAAGGGAAACCCATTTGCACTATTGGTGGGAATTCCAATTGGTGCCACCACTGTGGAAAGCAGTATGGCGTTACCTCAAAAAATTAAAAATGGATCTTCCTTTTGACCCAGTGACTCCACTTCTGGGAATATATCCAAAGGAACCCAAAACACTAATTCAAAAGACATAAGTATCCCTATGCTCACTGAAGCTTTATTTACAATTTCTAAGATATGGAAGCAGCCCAGTGTCCACCAATAGATGTGTGGATAAAACAGTTATGGGACATTTACATATTGGAATTCTACTTGGCCTTAAAAAAAAGGAAATTTTACCTTTTGGGATAGGATGGATGGACCTAGAGAATATTATGGACCTAAGTGAAATCAGCCAGTCAGAGAAAGACAAATACCTACCATACAATTTCATTTATATGTGGAATCTAATGAACAAACTGAACTAACAAGCAAAACAGAGAGACTCAAAGGTGGAGAGCAGATAATATCTAGTAGGGTTTGGGGAGATTAAGGTTGTGGAGAGATCCAGCAAAAAGGAAAAAGGGCTCATGGACATGGACAACAGTGTGGTTATTGCCAGCTGGAGAGGGGCAAAAGGGGCTAAATGGTAATGGGAAAAAGTACAACAGAAATTAAATTTTAAAAAGAATGAAGAAAAATAAAAGTATGCATCTATTCATTTTACTTTTTACTCAGTCCCAATGATTTCCTGGCTTTGCTTTCTACCACCTTCCCATCACCAATGGATTTCATGTAACCCCTTAAACCTTATTTGATTACTATTTATAAAACACCATATTTTGCCATGTACAATGCACACTTTTGACCAAATTTTTTAGGGTAAAATAAGGATGTGCATTATACATAGGTAATACTAATTCCCTATCTATATAAATGTTTTAAATTCTTTTATTTACGCTTTCAAAGTGTAACTCTAGAAAGCAATGACAATATCAATATGGGAAAAAACGAGTTTCTAAATATAACTAAATAACAATTGAATTAAAATTTTTTAATGGAAGATTTTTTTTCCTGAAAGTTTGGGCCAAAAATGTGGGTGCACATTATACAGTGGAGTACATTATACAATGCAAAACACAGGTCAGTGCAAAACTGTTATTTTCAGGAGCATTTTCTCAATCTGTTGAGAGTCTGCTTCCCAGGAGTTGCCCTCAGTTTGGCTCGAATAATCTCATAAATATCCTCTACATGTTTAAACATTCCCTAAACTGATAAGCTAGAAAATACCAGTGTACAAATACCAGAGGCGCTAGCTAGGACTCATCAGAGACTGCCTCCGCCACCCACACTTTGCACGCACCACAAGCAAGCGGAGCCATCCAGCAAACAGCGTAGTTATTAGACCCCGCCCCCCACCCCCTCTCCCCCCGCCCAATTCTCAAACCGGAAGGAGTTCTCGGAGCTTCCAGTCCTCCACGGCCTTATCGTTACCTCAGTGATGTCTTGGATTCGAGCTGCTCCTTTGGTGCCTGGCAGTGGAAAGGAGGGGGAAGTGTTTGACGAGGAAGCAGATGAGTCGCTCCTGGTGCAGCGAGAATGGCAGAGCCACATGCGGAGACGAGTCAAAGTAAAGCTGCGTGGAGGGTGCGGAGCGGGGTGGTCCCTAGGTTCGCCAGGCGGTGGGGTGAGACCCGGGGTTGTGAAGAATTTCTGCCGGAGATGGGGGCTGTGCGGTTCCTGCCGCCGCTGCGGCCTGCTTCCGAGTTGCGACCAACGGTACCTGCACCCTGATAAGTTTGCACAGTGGGTTTACCTAAAGCCTGTGAAACCACCGGGAGCTTTCTGCGAGCGCCGGCGGAGTGCGATAGACGCAGATCCCACCAAAATAAACTGTCTGAACTTTGAAGAGATTGCAGTTCGGTGGTGATCGTAGGGAAGGGAGTGGAGTGGAAATGTGTGCACTTACTCTACTAATTACGGCTACCAGAAGACTTGTTCACAGTTTACAGGGTTGCTTGAATCCGTGAGGAGCCTAGAGTTAGGGGCGGTAATAATCAATGTATGTGGAAGAAGTGGATCTAAGAATGTTGTCAAAGGGCAGTAAGGGAAAGCTAATATGGAATACTGGTGGCTAAGTAAGGAAATATTAAAGTTGGTTTCTTTTTTGTTAGGTATGCTTTATCCATCTCTAATTTGTCTCTTCACTGAGATTAAGCTTAATACCACACACCCAATTTCCAGGTAGAGCACTCAAAGCTTAGTTCGGGGCCAAATGGTGAGGTCCACTTTCACTTAATATCCTTGCCAGCTATTAAATTGCCCTGAATCTGTTTTTGTTTAATGTTTCAGTAAAATAATTGTTTAGCCCACAACCGTGTTGTCAATTTCAGAAATGCTGCATGTGAGGCTAGGGTATCTTTTGATCGACCATCTATCTTTTGAGCATTGTGGCATCAAAGGAGATGCAGTAAAAAAAAAAAAAAAATCCCTGTCCACACTGAATTTGCACGTTAGCTGAATTTAGGTATCAGGCAAAATTTCTAAAGCCAGATTTCTTATTTTCCTTTTGCTAAACCAATTTCCTCTTTCCCTACTTCAGTTAATTATCCAAGACTTTTGATAACCATGTTTACTACCTTGCCTCATTTACCCACACCAATCCAATCAGTTGCAAAGAGCCAGCCTTGTAATTCTCCATGTATCCTTTCAATGAAGCCATTGCTAACACAGGACTTTTAATGGTGTAAAGCAGTACTACATTTTTATGAGAATTACAGTCTACCTTGTGTGGCTATGCCATGTGTTTTAGAACCATTATGTTAACACAGGAAAGGCTTGTTTTCATTGATTTTCTAAATTGGTTTTATGACTTTCTAGAAAAACCTACAATGATCCACTTGATGTTATAGCAGCAGTTCTTCATTACTTATTTTCAGGAAGGCTATAGAGATGGACTAGAGGCTGGCAAAGCAGTTACTCTTCAACAAGGCTTCAATCAAGGTTATAAAGAAGGTGCAGAAATCATTATGAACTATGGACAACTCAGAGGAACTTTGAGGTAATTTTTAAAATTTGAATGCTGAGTCATTTTATGCTCAGTACTAGTAGAGGATTTTTGTAAAAGTATGTAAAAATAAAGTGTTTAAACTAAAATGCTTTTCCTACTGTTAAATCCACGAGAGTGCTGCAAAGCATTAGTATTATAATATTGCCTTCAAAAAGTGAAGATCATCAGTTCATTCTTAATATATGAGCTAAATGTCCTTTATAGCAAAGAAAAGATAGGAATGCATTTGGGGTTTTTTGTTCATTTGTTTTTTGTTTGTTTGGTTTTGGTTTTTTGTTTTGCTGCCTGAATTATCAACAGTCTGTATTTCAAAGTAATTTAAAAGATGCTTAGGGTTTAAATAAAGCATTTAGTCTTGTACATCTGGCAGAACACAGCACAGCAGAATTCTAGACTAGAAGTACATGATGAAAATTGTAGCCAATAATAGAAAAATGATCTCATTTATTTGCACTCTGAACATTGAACACCTCTCCAGATTCCATAGCAATAATAGCATGTTTCAGAGCCAAGTGGTGAAATGGCACATGATGCGGTTGTATTCTTTAATACTCTATACCTTTTAAAAGGCCTGCTGTAGAGAAAATGATGCAAAGAATCACTGATTTTTAAAAAGGATAGAAAATAAAAGTTATCAAAACAAAAAATCTGGTGTTAAAGGTTTTAGAAAATGCAATGGTCAGGAATCGAAATTTGCACCCTACTACTATAGGAAAATGATCATGTTCATCTTCACATCAAGTTAAATTAATCTTTTATAAGTTTAGAAAGCTTATTGCTAAATCTTTTATATTACTGGATTTCATTTTTAAGACATCATTTTTCTTTTTTTTTTAACCCTCACCTGAGAATATGTTTATTGATTTTTTTAGAGAGAGAGGAAGGGAGGAGAAAGAGAGAGAGAAACATTGATGTGAAAGAGAAACATTGATCAGTTGCCTCCAATAAGCACCCCGACCAGGGATAGAACCCGCAACCTAGATGTGTATCCTGATGGGGAATGGAACCCACAAACCTTTTGGTGTACGGAATGATGCTTCAACCAACTGAACCAACTGGCCAGGTCAAAACATTACATTTCACAACAATCATTTCATGACATGATTATCTGAACAATCTGAAATACAAAAAAAACAAAAGTACTATCTATATTAGAATAGTAAAGAAAAATATTTATTAGGACTAGAAGAATTTTTACCTTCTTCAAGAAAATTGTTAGCTCAACAAACAGTGTCTACTTACAACAAAGTTGGGAATGTAAAGTTGCCTAAAAGCTTTTTTTTTCTAGCCTTCAGTTTTGATGGCAAGCAACTGCTGTATATGATTAGAACAATGGTTTTCAACCTTGGCTGCACCTTGATATCAGCTGGATTGCTAGGCAGCTTTAAAAATAGCACCCCTAGAGCTTATGATTTAATTATTCCGGGGTATGACTTAAACCTTGATAGTTTTAAGATCTCCCAGGTGATTTTAATGTGCATCCAACTTGAAGAATCACTTGTTTAGAAGCTGTTTGCTGTCCTTAAAGGAGAAGCTAATTTTTCTGATCTCTCTTTTTCTGAGTTGTATCCCTGAGAAGCTCCACAGCCATAGGGGAACATCTAAAATGAGGAAGAGCAGATGTGGTGCTGTGAAGGGGCGGTTATGAATTAGAAACAGTTTATATGGTTAAGCCGAATTGTTTAATTTCTATTGAAAGATAATATTTTTATATTTTTTAATTCTATTTACCATTATTTTCTATTTTGACTTGCATTCTTATTATTAATTTGGTTTGCGTGCTGTTATGTAGAAAATAAACACTTAGGGTAGAAAAGAAACATCAAAAATTCTGAAAGCCTATGACTGTTTAATTTTTTTCCTATTTAACTCTTGTTTATATTTTCATTCAGTGCTTTGCTCTCCTGGTGTCACCATCACAATAATAGTTCAGCTTTGATCAGTAAAATAAATAATCTCCTGGATGCAGTTGACCAGTGCGAAGAGCATGTGCTCAAACATCTGAAATCAATCACCCCACGGCCCCATGTTGTCGATTTATTGGACTCCATTCAGGATATGGACCTTTGTCATGGAGTTTCAGCTGAGAAAAAGATTGATGAAGCTAAAGATGAAAGACTCTGGGAAAATAATGCTGAGTTTAACAAAAACTGTAGCAAGAGTCTTAGCGGGGTAGATTGTTCATCTTCAGAATGTTGTGGAATACAGGAGAATGCACGTTCTGAAAATCCAAGCCTCACTTGGATTTTAGAACAGACAGCCAATTTAGTAAAACAGCTGGGAGTATCAGTAGACATATTACAATACCTCAAGCAACTTTGAAAATTATCTTCTTTTCTAGTGAAAATAACATTCAGAACATTCCGTAGAACATTTTACCTGTTAACAAGTTTACCAAAATTTGTACTGGGTTTCTACATTGAACACTTCGCTATCCTTCATGGAAATTTGAAACATGTTTAGAATTAACACTATTAAATGCAATATAAGCCTTTTTTCTCTGTCACTGGTAATTTTTTTTTGTAGGTTAAGATAGTCTCAGAAATTCCATTTGTTGTCATTTCTAAATTTCTGATAAAAACCAAGCATTTTCAAACTCTTTAGCAAAAATGAATCAAACATTTTGTAAGGACCTAACCCTACTTTCTGTTCTGTCATTATCTGTTGGTTAGGACCTCATCTCCAGCTAATCAGACCAAAGTTACCAAAAATAATAGCTAACATTGTAAATAGATATATATACACGCAGATATATATATATATATATATATATATGAATATATTGACAATATATTGAAATTAAGAGACTATACATGTAAGAAACTTAAGAAATGTTTATAATGATTAAAAACATACTGCAAACACTAAAATTAGTTTGTTTCCTGTTAATTAAAAGTAAAAACATACAGTTCTTTGAAAAGTACAGAAAATAAACTTCATGCCCAAGTACTACTTAGTTTTTCCAAGTATTTAGGAGTTAGTACTGTTGCCTAACATATGTGTCAGTTTATTATATGTACGCTATAGTTTTACTTCATATCCATATAGGAATAAACACTGAAACCACTGACTTGTAGCAATATTCTTAGTCTGGCATAGATAAAATCAGATTCAAACTTTTATTCTAGGATCAATCCTATAAGATTAGGAAAAGATTTTTTATCACTTTTTTGCCTGAAACATAAATTTATATGAGGGACCAGACTTCAGAGGCACCCAAATAACTGCCATATTGATAGCCTTAATTGTTTTTTTCACCAATATTTATATCTACCATCAATTCTAAAAGATAGATATACTGAGATAGAGAATCTGATAAAATATGTCTGTCAAAAGATGAAGAAAATATACTACTGTAATCTTACAACCTCCTCAAACTTCACAGAACATTAAGGAATTGAAACGAATTTGAAATCAGAAGACCATATAGTGTTTCAGCATTTACTGAAATATGCTGAAGATACCAAGTGACATGTGACAACTCTGTGTTTATCTCTAGATGTAAACAATATTTCAGAGATTCACACATTTTTTTACATTTATGGATGCAGCAAAAATCTCAGATCCTCATGGAATATTATAAGCAGTCTTAAGTTTTCATGTTGCTGCATGTTAGGTATGAAATGTCCATTAGAATGTTACATAAGAGGAACGCCAAAATCACCCTGAGTAAAACTTTCATGAGTGTAGCAGATCTTGAGATTTTATTTGGTTTCATTCTGATAAAATTCCCTGAAGACAACAGCCCTTGCCACTGGAAATACGGTGTTTTTGTGTGGATGTTCATAGCAAAAGAAGTTGAGTTAGCTGAGTTGATGTGGCTGTTGGGTTGAAAACCTCTTATACTTGCTTTGCCTTTTTAAAAATACAGGAGTTCATGAACTACAGAGGAATATTAATGGTGTGCTCCTTATACATGTACTGCATGAATGTGAGCCTATTTACTACTATTTCCCCTTTTTCTCTTTTGTTTTTTATGTATTACTGTATTTGTGTTTCTTTCATTATGAGAGCATTGGTATTTTACTAGAACCAACAAGAGCAAGGGAAAGAAAACTCACTCACCTTGTATCTTTTACCTTACCTCATATGTTTTGCCATGAAAAAGGCCCTAGATGAACATAAACATTTGGCAAAATTGTCCCAGAACACACAGCCAGAGTTTCAAAGCCTAGGATACCATCTTGTTATTTAAGTGTCTTGTTTTAAAATTCCTTGAGTATATATTCTAGCAAAGCCAAAGATTAATAAAAGAAGCAGTTTGGGGATATAGGAATAATGACAAATAAAATAAAAACTTACAGTTAAGTCTAATGGCTGATCATATATTTATGGGATTTCATACAATTGCTAGGGATTTCTAAGGAGGGGAGGCCTAAGATACAGGACTTTACTCTGTGTTTCTAATAATAAGCATTTCTATGATACTAAATATTCATGGTACTTCATCTAACTCTATTCTATAGCCATTGGTATTTCTACATCATAACTACTTGGGTATATGTTTAATGTTTGCACACTAACATCTCTCTGAGGAAAAATTTTTTTTCACCTTTAATATGTTATTTCTAGATGGTGACACAGTCTGGCGTTTTTGTTGATAAGAGTGCAAAAGCCCACAGTACTGTGCTTTTCTGACATTTCAGTTGCTAGAGCTGGTGAGGCCACCAAAATTTTTGTGATAAATTAACAGGAAGTGTGGGCAGCTGAACTCACATACCTGCATCCTTATCTCATTTATATCTTAGTGCTGCTAATGAACTGCTTTGTGGTAAACCAAAACCAAAGTAAAAGCTTTGAACCAAGTCCAAATTGTGATTCTCACCCATCTTCAAACTAAAATGAAAGTTTTGTGTTCCAGTTTAGGATATAAAGAAATAATCAATATATAAACACCAAATATATGTAGATATCTATATAGGAATTGAGTTTGTCTTAGTAATTTCAGACCAAGGATTTAAGTAAATACATGTTGTGTTAATGAACTACCAGTCATACTTATTGTGATCCAGAAAATCTCAAAGTTCCATCATGAAGATCCTTTACCACCATAGTTGGCTTTCTTGCTTCTGTTCTTGTGTACTGTCTTTTCCCAACAAACTTCCTGTAAGAGGAGTTGTCACTGTCTCAGATTGTTTTCTCCCCATTTACACTTGGCTTCAAAATGCTTTCGGCTAAGATCAGTGATGGCTAAAGTCACACAACTGCCCCTAACTTGTTTTCAGTTCTATCATGTGTTTCTTTCACTGGACACGATGTACCATCCCTACTTTTATAATCCCTCCTTCCTTCTGCAGCAGCACTTTTTCTTCTACTTATTACTACTTACTTCTACTGGATAAAGCATACATTTGAATTTTTCTGAGTCCAAGCAGCATTGTCAGTCTGATCTCTCCTCCTCTCTCCTGCTCTCCAGCACACACCACATTCTATGCATGATACTACAATGTTTTATGGGTAATTTACAGCTTGTAATATTGCTCATTCCTGACACTTCAGCCTACTGTACTTCATGCCACATCATTTTCAGAAAAGTCCTGTTTATCCTTCAGTAACAGCTCAAGTTTCAACTTGGTCAGTCAGAGTTACTTGAGCTCTCCCCAGTGTTCCTTCTGCCTGTGATTTTGAGTATCACAGACTTCAGCATTTCATTGTTACATCACCAACACTGAGTACCGTGATCCCTGTAAATAGATGTATAGGTGGTACTTGATGAGAGCAAAAATATTTAAATGCATATACTAACCAAAATGAAAATCAGAAATTTAAAATTCCCAAATATAGCACGTTATATTCTTTTGTTTTCAGAAAAAATGTAAACCTTTATATTCACCTTTTTTAATGTTTCTTTTCATTTTCCACTTTAGTAAAAATCCACATATATGCTAAGTTGTAAGATAATCGTATTTACCAGTCACTAACAAAATTGCACTGATGAATAAATAAAAGTTTTAAAGATACAAAATTACATTTATAATACACTTTCAGCTAATAAAAGACAAACTAAAGAAAACTGGAAGCACACACAAAAACACTAGTTTCTATGAGAATGCCTGGTACATAGTATCTAATAACTGTAAGAAGGAGTTAGAAGAGATGGAAAAGTAATCGCTAATACATAGTGTTAACAATATAGAGGCACTAATATGAAAACTTTGCATATGTTAATTAGTTTAATCCTCATAACAACCCTATGCAGCATAGTTATTAATTCTCCCCATCCTGGAGATAAGGAAATCAGGGCACCAAGAAGACTGAGTAACTTGTCCAATTCACAGCCACCAGATGGCCCAGTTGAAATTTTAAAGAGGCAAACCCAGCTCCAGAGTTTGCTCAGGATAGAAGCATACAAAATAATAACACCAGCAGTGATTGTGTTTAGTAGAGGGACTACACATATATTTTCCCTCTGCTATTAATTTCTACTACTATCCATTTTTCAAATCTAACCGGCTAGCAAGTATTTTTCTATAATGCATACAGTAATCAGCATCTTCAAGGAACAAAAAATTTACCAGAAGCTTGTTTGTTATACATCTAGAAAAGGAAATACCATTACCTACTGGAAGGGGAGAATCTTTGTCATCTAGAGAAGTGTTATAGAAAAGTGTGTTGAACTTACACAGAAACTAAATTCTCAGACACCTTAGACATTCTACACTACTGGTGGAGAGAATAATTTGTGTCACTTATTTTGAGGTAATGTTTATTTAGCTTTCATAAACTACTTAACTTTCAAAAATGTGTGTTAGCTCACTACTTAAAATATATATGTATGGCTACAGATATGCCAAAAAGAGCCAAAAGTCTTTAACATACACCAAACTCCATTTTACTGCCCTATAAATAGTCTGATATTTCCAGAATGTAGGATAAGAAGATAAGGTCAGAATTCCTACAACGGATTCAGTTCTACAAAAGTTGAATCCTGGTGCTTTCATGCATGCATACGTAACATGTCATAGAAAGAAGCCCTGGACTTGCTGATCATATTTCCAAAGAGGTGTTGAATTACTTGGAGGCCACTGGGTGGTGCTGGTGCATCCTGATAATGTAATGTGTCCTTTGCTTAATCTTCATGGTAACAAGGACAATAAGCCAGTGATTATCCCTCAATCTGTGCCAAACAGATTGAGTCATTAGTAAGATTCAGTGGATAGGAGGGTTTTCTGACGTATGTCCAAAAACTAAAGAAATTAGGGTGCCGCCTCATTTTTTAAATTTTAGACTGAGAATTTTTCTAAATCAAAACAACCAATCATAAGGAAACTCATTCACAAGAAAAAAGCACCTTTTATTCTCCAAATCCCTGAGACCCAAAAATAATTGGGTCCAGAGTATATATCCTTTAATCAGAAGTGATATAAAATAATTTCACATGCTTGAATCATGTCTCAATTGTCAAGCAGGATTGTACCTAAACTTTGAAATAAAAATGTTCGTACCTTCTCTCTCCCTCAATATATATATATATTTCTATATTGTACACACAAA